AAAAAAGAATAACCATAAGAGCTTGTTAAATATGCTCATTCCTGATTACTCTGCAGATTACTTATTAATTTCAAAGGAAAAATGTACCTTTGCAATGAAGAGTTCTAGAAGACACCACCTTAAATAAGTGATCAAATTTAGCATCACCAATAACAGGGCAATGGCATATGAACCTCCTGATGTGACGCAATGGGAAGTAAACAACATTACTTCTGTAGTATTCTTGCCAAAGATGTTTATTATGAATCTAATTGCGAGGAAACAATCAGACAAATCCAGATTGTAAACAAGACAACTGACCTGGACTCTTCAAAAATGTCATTATCATTAAGAAAAAAAAGCCAAAGGTACTATTCTAGAATTTAGATTAAAAGAGACTAAAAAGAAGAGATAATCAAATGAAATCCATGATTCTTGATTGAATCCTGTATCAACACAAATAGCTAGGATGTTTTGGAGATAATTTGAGAAATTTTGATACGGACTCATATTGAATAATATTATTCTATCAATATTACATTTCTTGGATGTGATATGGTATTATTATTATGCAAGAGAACGAGAGAACGCTTTTGTTCATAGGAGATAACGTGCTGAAGTATTTAGGTGCAAAGTGTTATGATACCTGCAATTTAATTTCAAATGTTGTAGCTAAATGCATACGTTTTCACTAAAAAAAAAGTCCACACACTTCCGATTGGAGAATTCTGTGTTCCTAAAGGGACAGTGTCAGAAGCACTGCCCTAGACCAGTCTGCACCCCAGACCAATTAAATCAGGATCCCAGGATGGGTGGAACCCAAGCAGGAGCCATTGTTAAAGCTTCTCAGATGAGTCCAACGTGCAGCCAAGGCTGAGAACCACTGCTTTTAAGTGGTACCTGCTTTGTTTGGAAGAGGAAGTGGACGCAAGGCTGCCCCCCATTAACCACAATGAACAACAGTAACCTGGCAGCAGCTGACACTCGAATGATAAGCACTGACTCTCCCAGATCTAGATTTATGGCCTTGGACAAACAACAGAGCCTTACTTTGTGGCATGGTGCCATCCTCCTCAGCACTAATTAAGGCCTAAAGACTTCTCATCAGTATGTGCATAAAACAAATGGGCCTCGATTTAAGACAACTTCCCCATTGTGTCCTGGTTAATGTAATCACAGTTTACAGGTTTTCTCAATCATAAATATACTAGTTTTATTTTAACAAGGAGGAGAAGATATTTAAATCTAGATATCCCAATTTTTACACTAGATATTGGGTCATGTAAAAAGATGACTTAGGTGGTAATTGATAATAGAATAACAGCATGTACTCTATTCGATCAGTAATCAATATGATTATCACTAGCGTCTTTCAATTTAATTACTGCTTCTTATCGTCATCCATTTCATTAAAGTTTTGGCAGGTAGGGAAGGAAATAGGGTGCAGATAGCAGTATGAAGGATGGTAGCTGAATGATAAGACTATATACCCAGAAAATGCAAAGAAATGGCCTGAGTTTATTAAATAATTTGGCAAAGCAGTGAGACGAGAGAAACACCCACCACTGCACTGCTTTCTTTAGCAATTCTGCCTCCCACCAGAAACTCCATACTCATCCCTGGACAGAAAAAGAGCATGCCAGCACACACCATCTGCTTAAGGCTCCAGTTTTGAACCCCTGGACAAAGCTATCTTTTAATGAAGTATTATTACATAAATATATATTTCTCAAGTTCTGATTTGGAAACATTAACAAGTGTGAATGAAAACCAATGGAGTCTTCCTTTTCTGCCTCCAGGGACCAAGCTTGAACCAGCTGGGTAACCAACAGCTGCTGCTGAATATGGAAATTAGAGGAAGACGAATTGGCAAAGAAGTAGTCTAATCAAGCTGGGGCTGGCCTGTCTGGTCCAATAGCTCAGAAGCAAGACCTGGGGATTTATGGATCAGAGCCAGGCAGAGGCTGGGCAGAAACATGCAGGGCCTCTTCAGTGAACTCGGACTTGGGCAAGTTGGGTGCCATGACAGAGAGATAAGGAGCTGGCCCCCCCGGGCAGCCTCAGAGCCAGCCAGTTGTGGAGGTGGAGGCAACACAGGGTACACTAGCTGGCATTTCTCCCAGAGGAAGCAAATTGTGTTGACATGGACTGCCCACAGGTGCCCTGGGGTTCAGTGCTTCTCTTGCAGGCCAGCCTAAGTCTCAGAGAGAACTGGCCTTTGGCGTGGGTAGAGGGTGCTGACTGTAAGCACGGATCCTGCTTTTAGGGTGACTAACCTGGTATTTTAAATTCCTAAGAGAGTAGTGACAAAGCTAAATTCCTAGGAGAGTAGTGAAAAGACCCTAGCACTTGCCAAAAAAGGGGATACAAGACAGTAAATGATAACCATGTGATTTGTTTTTTTTAGATTAGACCTGAGCTGAGGATAAACCAGAAGATTACGCTGGTCCTATAAGGATCAAGGCGAGGCCGCACATCCATTCCATACCTCTACAAACGGAGCGGGTTTTAACTATTCATGAAGACAGGACAGAGCGACAGAGAAAAAGAGAAAGCAAGGCGATTTGTCTAGAAAGATTAAAAGATGTTTTAAACCCCTTTGCCTCCCCCGCACCCCGTATTTTTTAAATTGTGACAGGAAAAGCAATTCAGGCATGTCTGATCTCTATCACCCTTTTCCTGATGGTCTACAGCTACATCAAAATGGTCAAGACCACTTCAAGATCCAGTGACTGTCAACTGTTCAAAGAAGTACATTTAAGTAGGGAATGCAGCGCAGCCATTAAATATTACTGGGAAGGATACTTCATGACATGGTAAAAACAGGATGTTGTATGAGTCAATTTTAGGGAAATTGGCTGAAAAGTAAATTCGTTAACACTTTGCAGGATGAACCAAAATGCTAACAGCAGTTATCTCTGAAGTATGGGATTACTACTGGTTTTGCTTTCTTTGTGTGTGTTTTCCAAGTTTTAAGAACTATGTTAATTTTCCAATCAGAAAAGAAGGGTTCAAGGTACACTGTGCAACACTATTTTAGACAATGAGGCTTTGACGCAGTTGGCCAGCAAAGTACCTCTGATTTCAGGCTGTTGACAAGGACACGGGACTAAACGGCTCTGTTAGGTCACCCACCACCAGGGGACGCTAACCATTGAGGATCCTGAACTTACTGGGGGAAGAGCACCCTTGCAGGTTGCACTCTTCTCTGGCAAGTTTCAGGAACTCTGGAGAAGGCATTCAGCTGGGATGGATCTATCAAGGGGTCAAATTTGGAGATGTGGTGCATGCCGTTCTGATCTGAGTCTCTCTGACCAGGGGTTAGCAAACTCTTTTTTCTGTAAAGGGCCATGTAGTAAATATTCTAGGCTTTGCAGACCACATGAGCTCTGTTGTAAGTACTCATTCTGCTGGTGTAGCATGAAAGCAGCTTAGATATCCACAGATGAGTGAATGTAGCTGTGTTCCAAAATAACTTTATTTACAAATAAAGTAGTTTGTCAACCCCTGATAATCTTCAGGTTTCCTAACTTAGTTCAAGAAGCTGAAGTGACCGGGCACAAGCCACGGCAGTCCCTGTGAATAGATGGGTCATTATGGAATGTCACTCCTCAAGCGCTTTCCATTCCAAGGGTTGACTAGTGGTGACTCTACACACCGAAGGAAGGGACGCCCATTAACGCACTAATGTTTTCAGTCATTTAATATGTTGGTTCCCCCCCAAACTAAACCATGAGTCCCTGGAGTTTGAGAAACAGGTCTGAATTTTTAACACCATCCATGCAGCTCACACAGTGACATCTAAATAGAGAGTGCTGGATGTGCTCTTGTTGAATACTGAGTGAATGAACCAGTGTCCTCCCTTACCATGCTGGTATGAAATGTAGTTCTTGGGTGACTCCTCTTGGGAACCACTGAAGCTCTGTCCAGGCAGACTCCACCTTGAATGGGACACCCTGAGTTCTGCACAAACACACCCATATTTTCTAAAAGTATTTGTTCTTGCCAAGGGCAGGAAATTTCTAGAAGATGTCAACATGAAGAAACAGAGTCAGCCTGGCCAAAGCTGTCCCTTCTAGAGAGTTTCTTAGTTTATCTCAGTGACTGTTTTCACAAAAAAAGGTTTTCAAATTGACAACGTTTATGACCTTAGATAGTTCTTCTGGGCACTTAGGTATCTCCTTGGCCTCCTGCATCTTGTTTTGCATCTCCTTGGCTCAATGACGGCACCAAAGGGGTCACCTTGTCAGAACTCTCTTACTCATTTTGCCACAGCCTCAATTTTCATCTTTCTCCACAAATGCAAAACATGAAAATGAAGTAGAAATTAATAAGTGAAGCCCTGCAGCTTCTAGATACAGGTTCTTCCCTCAATGCGTCCTGATGGAACCCACAACCCAATGTCAGGGTGAGGTTCTTGTAGGTCAAACCATCCACTCCCAAGGGGATGGGGATTTAGAAATGTATCACCCCGACAGAAGGGGTGGGGCAAAAGCCAGGTCAGAAGTGAATTTTAAGCAATACTAATAAACAAAGTTCTTGGCTAAAATTTAGCGAGAGTCAGAATGCCTCACGAGGTAAACATTTGCTGGAGGGTTACGCTGATTTTTTAAGGTGGGATTCGTGTGCGTGTGCGTGTGAATATGTGAACATATGCACAGCCCAGAAAATATGTGTATCCATGTATGTGTGCACACATACACCTGATTGCATTCATTCTTCTAAGCAAATGTCATTGAGAAGATTTGTGTTCAATCCAATGATCTAGAGTTCCAAGGTCCCCATCAACCTTCTTGATCCCCAGAGACAATCACTCCAGATGATAGAGATTTCTGCACAGAGGCCATGGAAAGTACAGAATGATGAGAAGAAAAGCCAGAGCTTCTCTGAGGTCCCAGGCACAGATCGTGCTGCTGGCCCTGGCCACACAGGAGCTGTGAGGGGCTCTCAGAGTCCCTGAGGGGAGAGCGCGGTATGGATTGGGGCGGGGCATGGGGTGGGGTGGCAAGGGGGCTACTCACGCTGTTGTTGCTTCCTTTGTTGTCCTCATACTTGGTTTCTATATGAATGGAGAATTTTGGCAGAAAGGAACACTACGGAAAAAAAGAAAAGTTTCATCAACACACCGTCCTTTCTCTCTTCACATCTTCAGTTTAGCCTCCGGCTGCTCTCCTGACCGTTTGGTTGCGAGCACTGTCCACGATCAGAAATATTAAGATACTAGTTCCATGTCCGTATGCAAGGAAAGCCACCTTTTTGGCAACGTGAACACGATTTCATCCAGGAGTCAGGCCGGAGAGAATAACTAAGCAATCAGGCAAGTCGCCGAAGAGGACATTTCCCAAAAGAATATGCTTTATGAGTCCGACCACAGGCTTTAGAAGAGCAACCCCCTGGAACAGAGACAATTCCAGTTCCAGGGTGCTTCACTTCAGGGAGTAGCTGCTACTGCTGGATGCCTGGGAACCAGCCTTAACCATGATGTACATATTCATGTAAAGCTAGAGGCGGTAGCGTAGAGCTTTAAGATTATAAGTTACTTAGGCCTACCCAGGTGACCCAGGATAATCTTTCCAAGGTAAAGTCAGTTAATTAGCAACCTTCATTCCATGTGCAATCTTAATTCAGGTTCCAGCAATTTGAACATATACATCTTTAGGGAGCCATTATCCTGCCTAACACAGGGTGGAATGTGTGTGTGTTTGTTTTCTGTCTTTTTACTCTTGAATAAAATATCTAGAATTTGGTGTTAAAAAAAAAAAGATTATAAATTACTGAAGTCAGACAGACTTGTTTTAGTTTTGGATTTATCACTTGATAGCCATGTGACTTTGGACAAGTCATTGAACTTGTCCGAACCCCAGCAATATTGAAACAGGTAAAATAACGATTACTTAACAGTGACATTGTGAGGGTTAAATAAAATCATGTGCATAAAACGTAACAGTGCTGGGCATCAAGCCAACTTTGCACAGAGGGCAGCAAATCAGTATGAGGCTGCAGCTGAACTTGACATGAAATGCGGCCTCTCTTTCTGTTGGCACAGGGGAGAAAAACCCCAAATGCACACCATCCTGGAGTCCCCGTCTCCTTGAGCCCATTCTATGTATTCAGTAGACTATAAGGGTTAGCATAGCTTGAGAAGAGGATTTTTTGGTTTGTTTGTTTTTTGCGGTACGCGGGCCTCTCACTGTTGCGGCCTCTCCCGTTGCGGAGCACAGGCTCCGGACGCGCAGGCTCAGCGGCCATGGCTCACGGGCCCAGCCGCTCCGTGGCATGTGGGATCTTCCCGGACCGGGGCACGAACCCGCGTCCCCTGCATCGGCAGGCGGACTGTCAACCACTGCGCCACCAGGGAAGCCCGAGAAGAGGATATTGATGGATGTCGATGTAGCCTTCCTCCTGCTGGCACTGAGCAGGGCATTCACCTTCTCTACCACCAGAGATGGGATTGAAGACTACTGGCTAAAATGACCTAGCAACTCCACTGGGAGCTGCTGGTGTTGGAGGAGTGAGGCTTGGGCCAATACGCTCATAGTCCAAGAGGTTGGCTCCTTTATTTATTTATCCAACGTACACAGAGCACATATTCTACACCTGGCACTGGTCTAAGAGCTTCCAAGTTCTAATTCCTTTATTCCTTGTCACCACCCTATGAAGTAGGAACTATTATCATCAGCCGTGTGTTAAAGATGAGGAAACGGAGGCACAGAGAGGGTAAGTAAATGGCCCATGATCACACAGGTAGTGAACAGTAGAGTTGGGATTGAAAGCCTGGTGGCCTGGTCCCCGAGTCCACGCTCTTGATGACTACCCCACTGGTTCTCAGCATGGGATCTCTGAGCCAGTAGCAGCAGCACCCTGGAACTTCTCAGAAAGGCAAATTCTTGGGGCCAATGCCAGACCCAGTGAATCAGAAACTCTGGGGATGGAGCCCAGGCATCTGTGTTTAACAAGCCCTCCAGGGATGCTGATGCAGGCTTAAGTTGGAAAACCACCTCACTATACCATGCATGGGAAGGAAAGAGAGAGAATGCATTATCTAAAACCCCGAGGTCCACAACATGCACCCTTGCCCCATACGGTCACCCCATCGTGACCGTGATCCCCTTTCAGCCCAGCTGAAACCCCCCCCAATGGCATCTGTGCAAGAAGGCAGAGGCCTTCGATGTGCCATTGATAATTCTGCTGACATCACATGCCTGTGTGCATTCGGTGTTCATCTGTCTTAATCTGAGTGAAACAAGCAAGCTGAACGTGACTAAGGAAACATGGAAACAATCAATCCCAGTAATTGCTTTTATGGAGAATGAAGCCCTGCGATCATTCATTAACACTTTCTTTGCTGTCTCCTCTCAAATCTCTCACTGCACAACTGCTGCCCTCACACCCAGACCCAGGGAGTTCTCCAAGGAGGGGCCTCCCATAGTGAATCGAGATGGAGCGGCTCAGAGCCCCACGGCAGAGCTCTCAATCAACACGTGAACTTGAGGACACACACCTGCAGAGACCCTTTTAAAAATAACAAGCTTCAGGTGAACCGATTTGTCCTTTTTAACCCATAATTCATGAGGCTAAATCCAACGTGTGCACAGTACAAGGTGGCGAGAGAACAGAGCTGTTCAGGGTGGGGAGGTGGGTCTGGGTGCGTCAGAGTGGAACCCCGCAAGGAGTTTTTATCGGTTGAATCTCTAAACCACTTAACTAAGGTCAAACAAATGAATTTTAGCATTTGGGTATTAAACCCAAATACAAAATGCAAAACTCTTATGCAAGGTAACAGATGTTGTTATTTTTGAGTCAAGGACTTAGGTTATTTTCATGTCAGAATGGTAACCCTGCCAGAGGCTAGAAGTGCACCTGGTTTCCGCAAGGCAGTGGGCAGACCTGGGTCAGCCAGGCCAGCTCCAGGCTGGTCAGTGCTGTGGGATCTTCCCGGACCGGGGCACGAACCCGTGTTCCCTGCATCGGCAGGCGGACTCTCAACCACTGCGCCACCAGGGAAGCCCTCCTTTATTTTTTTAAAAATTTATTTATTTAATTTATTTTATTTTTGGCTGTGTTGGGTCTTCGTTGCTGTACGCGGGCTTTCTCTAGTTGTGGCGAACGGGTGCTACTCTGTTGCGGTGCACGAGCTTCTCAGTGTGGTGGCCTCTCTTGTTGCGAAGCATAGGCTCTACGCACGCGGGCTCAGTAGTTGTGACTTGCGGGCTCTAGAGCTCAGGCTCAGTAGTTGTGGTGCACGGGCTTAGTTGCTCTGTGGCACATGGGATCTTCCTGGACCAGGGCTCGAACCCGTGTCCCCTGCACTGGCAGGCGGATTCTTAACCACTGTGCCACCAGTGAAGTCCTGCTTATTCCTTTATGATGTTTCTTATTCTTCATGAATCAGAGAAAGATGCTGCCTTCTTTATCCCAATGGAAAAATAATATAATGATCAGAACTGAGACATAGGAGTCATCAGACCTGAGATGTATCAACTGGGGCAAATTATTTTCCCAACCCCAGCCTGTTTCCTCATTTACAGAATGGGGACTCTCCTTCTCTACTCTGTAGGCATGCTGAGAAGATCAATGAGATCATTCAGGTAAACCCAGCACACTGCCTAGCACAGAATAGGTGCAGGGTTAAAAATATATGTAAGTCTCTTCTCCAGAAACTTGTTTCATTGATTATTTGCATCTTCTCCCTGCTTCCTTTCTACCATCTAAAAATATAATGAAAAGTATCACATTCTTTCTTTCTTCCTTTCTTCCTTCCTTCTCTCCTCCCTCCCTCCCTCCCTCCCTCTCTCTCTCTCTCTCTTTCTTTGGCTGTGCCGGGTCTTAGTTGCAGCGTGTGGGATCTTTTTAGTTGCGGCACACGTGACCTAGTTCCCTGACCAGGGATCAAACCCGGGGCCCCTGCATTGGGAGCGTGGAGTCTTAACCATTGGACCACCAGGGAAGTCCCCAAAGTGTCATATTCTTAAAAAAACAAACAAGCATCAAGTTCCCTCAGTTATGTTTCTTCCTCAATCTACAACCAATCCCATTCCTCCTCGTCTTCACAATCAAACTCTATTAAAAGAACAGTCGATGCTTGCTGGCTCTACTTTTTCATCTCCTACCATTTTTTTCTCAACCAGTGCAATATGGTATGGAAATGACTGATGATCAAAGACTTTCCAAAGCAGCAATTGATTCTGCATCCACACCCTGTAGGGCTCTCTACACTGTTCTATGTGATGAAGCAATTCCTCCTATGATAGCAGCTCCTTCCCAGCCTTCTCTTCCCTCCTCCATTCCTTCAATGAAGGCGGTCCCTTAGGTTCTGCCCTCCACCCTATTTTCTTGCACCAAGTGATCTCATCTGCTCCTGACTTTTCCATGACCCTTTTTTATGAATCCTCCCAAATTGACATCTTTCACCCCAACTGCCCTTGTCACATGTCCAGTTGCCCACTGGCTGTCCCCAACAAGGGTCCTCTAGGCCCACCACACTTGAATGGTCCATACTGAACTCGAATGTTCTTCTGCACTGCACGAGTTTCCCAGGGCTGTCAAATTACCACGAATGTGGCTTAAAACAACAGAAATGTAACCTCTCACAGTCCTGCAGGCTAGAAGTCTGAAATCAAGGTGTTGGCAATGTCGTGCTCCCTCTGAAGGCTCTAGGGAAGCATCCTTCCTTGCCTCTTCCGGCTTCTGGTGGTCCCAGGCGCTCCTTGGTCTGTGGCTCAACTCCAATCTCTGCTTCTGTCTCCATTCACCTTCTCCCCTCCGTGTGTCTCTGTGTCCTCTTCTTGTAAGACATAAGTTATTGGATTTAGCTCACCGTAAATCCAGTGTGATTTCATCTCTCATCTCAAGGTCCTTAAGTAATTACACCTGCAAAGACCCTACTTCCAAATAAGGTCACACCTGAGGTTCCGGTGGACATGAATATTTAGGGGGACATTATTCCATCCACTACACTCACCCATCACATCCAGTGAACCCCCAAGTTCTGCTGACTCAGTTTCTCTCCTTCAGGGGAAGACCTGGAGTCTTCTGTATCTGACCCGAATCTTCTTTCCGGCTTTGCCCTGTATTCATCCCATGGCCAGTCACA